CCCAATGCTGAAGCCAACCTTTGACCTGTGGCGTCAAGTTTAGCTAATGTAAGAACATAGGTCAAAGGGTTGTTGTCCGTTAATACCGTGAAATGATTCATTTGCAAATAGTCCGAAAATTTCTCTGTCACCGCCCATTTAACGGCTAAAAATTCTAACTTGTATGCACTGTAATTATTTTCAGATTTGCTGAGTGATCTGCTAGCATATGCCACTGCATGTTTGTTGTTGTCATCTACCTGGTATAAGACTGCTCCAAGTCCTTTTGTCGAGGCATCCGTGTGTAATTCGAAAGGTTTTGTGAAGTCTGGATAAACTAATATGGGAGGCTTTGAAAGTATTTCCTTTAAATCATCAAAAATCTTTTGTTCATTATCTGTCCAATTCCATTCTTTTGTTATCTTCTTTTGTCTTTTCTTTATTGATGTTGGAGGAAGTAAGTCTGCTAGAGGTCTTGTAATTTTACTAAAGTCTTTTATGAATCTTCGGTAGTATCCAGCGAAAGCCAAAAATGATCTTAATTCATCAGAATTTGAAGGAGTAGGCCAGTTTTTAATTTTCTCAATTTTAGCTGGATCTGTCTCAATACCATCCTCTGATACCACATGTCCTAAAATGTGTACTCTCGGTTGGATGAAGAAACATTTCTCTGGTTACAATTTCAGTTTACATTCATGAACGCGGGTGAGAATCAAGTCAAGTCTTCTTATGTGTCCTTCAAACCTCTCAGCAAAAACAATGGGGTCATCCAGATAAATAACACAAATAGTCATATTGTAATCTCCTAGGAACTCCTCCGTAAGTCTTTGATATGTTGCTGGGGAGTTACTAAGACCGAAAGGCATTTTCTTTCTAACTAACAAAACATTTCTTGCCCATGGTGATTTTGATTTCCTAATTATTCCAGATGCTAAGAATTGATCTAAATGTTGTCTAACTTCTTCGATCATCATTGGTGGAATCCTGCGATGCCTTTGTTTGAATGGTGTTTCATATCCCGGAAGTAAATCAATTCTATGTTTAATTTTATCACATTGTCCTATATCTGTGTCAGAAGTAGAGAAGATTGACCTATGTTTTTGAAGTAGTTCCATTAATGTTTCTTTTTGTTTATCACTCAATGTTCCACTGTTGTCTACATGCACTTGATCTAAGACATCTGTTTTGTTTAATTCCTCTGAAAGTTTATTCATGCTGTCATGGTCTATTGTTACTGGCTGAAGTTCACAGAGTATAGATTTTGGCTGAATGGTGATAGTATTTGTTGTTAAGTTTGATAAGTTGACCATAATATCTGAATTTTCTCTGTACTTGTAATTTATAACTGATGGAGCAATATCAATGTAGGCAGGAAGTGTAGATTCTTCACATTCATGAACAATGGCTAATGTATCATGGTATCTTAATTCTCGATCTGAATATCCTTTCACATTAATTGATTCATTTGGTCTTAAGATGATTTTGTCTGGCACAGCACTTCTTACAATTGCAATCCTATCTTTGTTCTTCTTTAGTTCCTTTTCTCTAATAACAAAACATCTAAATGTCAAAAACCAAGGTGTACTTATTCCATTTCTCTGAGCTTTTTGTAAGAATTGTTCTCCGTATTGTTCTTTACAATCACTTAAAAGTTCCATTAGTATGTTAGTTCCAAGAATCACTGGAGTTGTTGTAGAGAATTTGGTATCTGGACTCACTAGAAAAAGACCTAAGTATGTTTTAGAATGTGGTAGTCCATCTGTAATGCTTATTTCAAGATCAATATAGCCATCATAAGGTAGTTTGTTGCCATCCGTACACTCAATGTTAATATCTGTCAACGGTTTAAGTTCTAAAGTTTTTCTTCATCAAATGTCCTGGAAATGATGCTTACACGACTGCCGGTATTATGTTCTTAAAAAATGGTATTAATAGCGGGGTGGTCTTAATTCCAGGATAGTCTTAAGTAGGGATTCTACTGTTTTATAAACTTTTTAAAAAGTTTGACCTGTTGAATCAGTTTAACTGTCATTTCATTACAACACTTCAGTGTATGTTTTATCAGAACCAATGCACGAAATATTTGATCATTTTAAATGAAGAATTTTGTAAAGTTTAAACTAAAACATTTCTTTATCACCTTTGGCATATGTTTTCTTTTCATAATGATATTTGGTAGGTAAAATATAAAGCAAAACAAGGCAGAGCATTTTGAAATTATGGTAATTGTATTAACAATGTGCATGAATTTTGTAACAGTACCTTTTAGAGATGTTTCAGATTCAGATGAGAACAAAAACTGTTGTTTAACTGAAAAGAATGTGCAAACCTTATATAATTCTTTAACTCTAGCAACATGATTATAATTATTTTCTTATATCTAAATTTGACTGAGGTGGGTAATGAATGGAATGGAATTTTAGTAGAAATGTGGCCTGATAGGCTTACATTACTAAATACTAAATAATTTATACTATATAATTTACTAAAATTATAAAACGTTTTATTAAAAGGGGTTATGACCCTACTATCTTAAGACATACCGCATGCTTAGTGTTCAACCCATTTACAGTTGGACACTACGCTTTCCTCTTTTGATTACATCTGACGGGCCAAGTGGGAGACTATATGATGGACAGTTCTTAAAGCCCTTTGGGACTGAATTGCCTTAATGTTTGTCTTCTGTCTTGCTTCGTCGGGCCCTTGTAGGTGATTTTCTTGTTGCTCTGTCTTCCTTTAAGACATCGAGTACTTTTGTTATGGTCATTGGGTTTACTTTTATATGTTTCTACATGATCATTTTGGTGTTTTACTTATTTAACCTTTTGTAACCATAACAACTGTTAGAATTTCACTTGGCGGGGATTCATTTTATTTACACTGTCTCGTTTATAGGAACATGGTGGGGCTAAGAGCGAGGTTTGGTGCACCATTAACCGGTTTAAACTCCCAGTAGTCATTATTATGCTGCTGACCGTTCCAAGGCGGCGCCCCTCTGTGTTCCTCAGATGTATGTCTATGTTGTTTTATACTGATTTGGTGACACTTTTGCTCGTGTCTCTTGTTGTTTCTCGTCTACGGTAAGTATCTTCCCTTGTCCCTAGTTTTTATTTATTTTATCCCCCCCCCCTTCCCCGTGTCTCGTTTCCCCTTCCCCTGTGCCTTTTGACATAATGGGCCTTATATTAAATCATTTATTTGTTTTGTTTTAGTTCCTTATAAGTTACTAATTATGTATTCTGATGTAGTGGTTTGCCTGCCCGTGCTCTGCCTTGTGCCCTGTCCTGTTTTTCTTTGGAGTCCTCCTGGGCTCCTTGCCGCTGACGCTTGTTGCTGGGTCGGATGGGGGCTGCGTTCATTGAATGCCGCCTTTCCTTGTCGATCTTGTTTATCATATATTATATTGTGTATATTAGATATACTATGGCAACACTTGCGTTGAAAATTTGTTCATAACCAGTCATTACTAATAATAAAGGTTGTATATCTAAAGTAGATTAATTCATATAGTATGCAATTATTATTACTTATAGCTATTCGTATACAATAATACAGATATTTATGAGATATCGAACATTTAGGGTAGCTGTTATTTCATTTATTCATTTTACAATTAAGGAAATTTCAAGTTACAAGACAGACGGATGATGATAACATTTTTTTAATATTCACAAAGTTTTATTTTAAGAACTGTTTTGTTTAGTCTGTACTTCAGGATAAATATTAGTTCAATGGGTTTTGACATGATTTAAAGTTATTTTATTGTCAAAGTAAACATGCGCATTGATAATCACAATTGTTAAGACTCATTATGCAAGCTAACAATGCATAACCTAATTTTAGACTGGGAAAGATATTTTAACTTCTGACCTTAAACCTTTAAATTTGACCTTGGCCTGGAATGTATTAGCCTGTTTACTACGCATGACACACTGTCTAATCAAACTGCACATTTGAGCCAAATGTGTTCGGGTATGTGATTGCAGCAACAAAAAAGACCACGAATTTTTTGGCATATCAGCCAAATCGATACAATGTCTTTGTGCGTCGTTTGATTTTTTGTCAGGTGCCCCTTCATGCATTATTGAGGGCTTAAGCGGACACTTGAGAAGAAGGACCGACGTTCTGTAAGTTCTTTTATAGCTTCTTCACATGAAAGATTCTAATTTCATGCGGGATTTCAACCTTCGGCGTGGCGAAAATAAAAGTGTTTCGAATTAAAAGAGAGTTATGCCGGTAAAACATTCATGTTGCTATTTGAATATTCTTTGGTAGTCAAATTAGGTAAATACACATGATACTTCGTTATCTGTACCCAAATAATGTCAAAACTTGAATGGCCTTCACTTTTCGTCAAATAATGACGATGCCATTCATAATCGTTATCTTAATTCCGAAATTTCTTAAGAAATATTTGTTTCATTTTTCACCAGATGTCTTTTATAATTGAAAATAACTTCTCCTTCTACTGATGGACAGGACAACAGAAAAAAGTACTTTTTATTCTTATATTGTTTCTTTCCTTCTAAAACGAAAGACATCAATTGCTATGATATTTACTTGTTGATGAGAAAAGTAAAACAAAATCCTTCGAAAATGCTCTGATAATCGCTGGCTGCTTTTAAAAGTCAGTGGTTGCTATGGAAACAACTTGAAAATCAACGGTTGTCAGGAAAATCACTTCTTGACAAAGAACGTTTACGGTTATTATGAACGTTACTACTTAACACTGAAAGTAAATGAGTTTTATCCAAGTTAATTGTTGCTTAGAAAATTCAGGTGTTGCTTTAGAAAGGGAAAAATTGCTATGAGTCATGGAAAATAAATGCTTTCTATAGAAATCACCGACCCTTTGTGAATAAGGGGTTGCCTTTAATGTTTGAGACATAAGAAATGCAGCCACAATTTGGGTTGCCTGATCGCAAGAGGAGACTAAATTGGTCCGAATAAAGGGAGACTATTCATGACTTAGTTCCAGCAGGTGAGGTTGTCTTGACCTTTGGTCTGGCTTTGAAGTCTTATCAATTCATCTGTCCTGTTTCAGCGCCATATTGGACATCACTGTGTTGTTGTGTCGTTGTATTGAACTGTTTGCCACATTCAAATGTTACTCATGAAGTCACTTGATGTGATACAAAGTTGATATTTGATATGGAAGTCAATTGCTATTTTGTTAATACACTGGGCGACTTGGAAGCCACTTGTTGCTATGTTGCTAGTCAATGGGCGCTTTGTAATTCATAGGTTGCTATGGATGTCAAAAGTTGCAAAATAAATGGTCAATAGTTGATATTGATTGCCTAGGAAATGTGCTACGTTGTTATGCAATCAATTGATTGGATGCTATGATAGTGAAACATTGCTATAGAAGTCATTGGATATTATGAACTTCAATTGTTGCTATGAAAATAAATTTATCTAAACTATTTTAAAAAATAAAAAATGCACGAGATATTAGAAAAGATGCTTAATATATAATATGGTCTCAACTTTTTAGCAGTTATGATTTTAAAAATTCAGCTTGACTGTACCCTCTGATCTTTAAGATCTGTGCCACCAAATAAAAACAAAAACAACTATCTATTTACGTGAGGTCGGTGACCATCATGATGTTTCAAGGCTATAAGGCAAATGGTTTCCAAACGGTTGCCATCTGCTTTAACATAAATGGTTTATACATTCAAGGGCACCGTGAACTTGACATGTACGCATCCATCGATGTAATAAAAAAATAATTCCAACAGTGATAATAGTATGGATCTTTAAAACTGTTGATCAAATAATTCTTAAGTTCTTTAGCTGGAACGATCTTTGTTTGCAATGTTACTATGACATTAACTGCACCGCAAAAACAATTGTTATTTTCTTCTGAGTAAGGTAATAGTCTTAGTAAGATTGAAGGCGACTAGAATATATTTATACGGTTATTTAGAATAAGAAGTATTGAAATTCAATGTCAGTATTACCTTGACTTTCACATATAAGCCTCTCGAACCTAAAACGGAGGGAGATAGTAATCGAATTGGAGTGATTTTATATTTTGCAGTTTTAAAGTATTTATCATGAATTAATAAGAACAACATTCTTAGTAGAATTAAATATTATTGCACAAACTATTCAAACAAAAAAGAGAAATAAGTTCCAAAAATTTCCATAAAAACTAAAGATTTTTTCAACATAAATATTGTGACGTAATAGTTTGATAACTGAATTCATAAAATATGGCACACGACGTCTGCCGACGATAATCTGTAAAAAATACTAAATATCCACTTGCAAGGATGCAAGTGGTATAACATTTATTTCTTTTGCATGTAAGAATAGATTGAATTAAATTATTTCTCTCATGACATCAGCTGTTATTTTTCCCCGATTGCTGTGCCACATGTATATATAAATACTGAATGTGCTACAAAAATATTTCAAAATATATAAAACTGTAAAGAAATTCACATTCATCAACTTCATTGCAGTTGACATTGGATATCCTCTGATTTTGTTAAAACATATTCTAGCACAGGATATACAAGTAATGCAAAATTGGTTAAGATATAATGTTACAATATTACAACGTTTATACTGATAATGAGCAAAATAATATGCAAAAACTTAAGTTGGTGAATCAACATACATGACATAAGGGAATGTTTTTCATATATAAGGACACAAACCACTTATTTTGCTGAGCTAGCTTTTTTTTCGGCAGGGTTTGTGTGCCTTTAAACGTTACAGCGTTTAAAATTGTTGAAGAATTCGTAAGCATGTATTTTACATGCAGCAAACAGTAAACAGAATAAATACACTGAAATTTGTTACAATGTGCAAAATACTATGCATTCTTGTAGTCAATTTAACTTGTGTTTTTCTCTTCTGAAAACACGTTTTCATGTTCTTTCCACAAATATATATTTTGTGTTTTAAACTCTGTAAATTAGTTTTATGCACAAAAAATCTATGTTATGTAATGGTATGATTTGTCATATAAAAATGTAAGTTCAATTGGTATAGCTCACATAATTTAGGTCATTGTGCACAGAAACAGATAGGGTGTAACTAACCATTATGTTGTAGATTATTCTTTTGTGACTAATCCTGCACAAGACTAATAAAAGTGATATTCATAGAAAAACACTAAACTATCATTAATTTATATATGTTCATTTAAGTTAACTCGCAATTTGCATACATATTGTAATGGTATAATACATCTTTATTATTTTCTATTTCATTAAAAATGAATGTAAACATGCAAAATCAAATGTTCTATATCCCCTCTTTTTTAACTTTAATAAGAAGAAATATATAGAAACAGATGAGACAAATCCCACAAATATTATCAATTTCAAGCAATATATCTATTATAAGAAGGAAATGATTTTAAAATAATAGCTCTTTGTTATTTTGGATTGTTTTTGGTTACTTATTAAACTCTAACTTACCGAAGGCTCACATTTCTTTATCTGAAATAAAAAATAAAGAATTATATACTACTACTAAACGCATCCAGAATCATATAAACATACATCTGTTAACAATTTAATTCTGATTAACGATTTCATATTAGTAAAAACTACAAAAAAGTGGTAATCAAGCGAATAAAACCGATTTATTTTGATATTCTATTCTGATTTCAAGGTTATATACAACTTGTTCCACACATAAAAGGAAAAAAACGAATTGAGTGCATGCGCTTATAATTGTTTTTAAATGAAAGGTGTTCCAATACAATTTGCGTTGTTCACTGGCTCTCTATCGAAATGATTTAAGATTGAAATTAACACTTAAGACTGTGAAGTATCATTGTGTGTTTAAATAGGACAGAGTATTTTAAGAACTAAGTTTTGATCGAAACGAAAATATATGAAATATAATTATTTTATAAAAAGTATCAGTATGTTAGAATGTATCTATACGATGAATAAAATCATAGTCAAACTAGTCTTATGTGTATTTTTGATTTCTGTCGTAAAGGGTAATGAAAGACAACCGTTGCACAAATCATTATTTAAACGAAATCTCAAATGTCTGCAGCATCAACAAAAATAGCAAAATTGTTGAGGAACGGAATAAATTGAGCACATATTCCAAACACGAATTATATGCTTTCCATCATTGAGTGTTTATTAGTGAGTCACTTGTTTGACACAAACGAATTGTAGAAACATACAGGTAGACAGTTGTGCTCTTAAAACTACTTCTGTAAAGTTTAATAATGTATCCTTGGAAGAATTAAATGTATCTAGCCCACAACATTGTGTACGGAATTTGTAATAATATGTGTGAAAAGTTGATTTCCGATTCGACTGTAAAACTCTGATTTAAAGACAAATCATGTAGATATGGAAGAGATTTATTAGATATGTTTGTTTCATAATAGATCGTCACACTTTTAATGTGAATCACATATAGCTCATCCCTTGTTACTTTTCAGTACATTTTAACATGTGAGTACTATTTTGACAACTACTTCAATCAAAAACTCGGTTGGATTCATTAATGCAGATTCCAATTTACCACGCAGTCTCAATAAAGTACAGTTTGGTTCAAAAACATAAACATGTATCCCTGGTATCTTTAAAACAAATTAAAAGATTTGAAATGCTATATATAAAACCTGTATAGGATACCTCATGACAGCAATAGGATAATTAGCAAAGCTCTTGGTATTTTTGTTACATTGCTGAGGAATTTCAAAGGTGAATGGTCCACCATCTTGTCTAAACTGTAAGCAAGAAGGGTGACACCGTTTCCCTACGGTGAATTTATCAAAAAACAGTCAAACATATTATTTTCCATTACATGTGACGTGCTTTAAAAATAAGAGTCATAGCCCAAACATTAAACTGGCTGGATTATAGAACTGATAATCCTAAAACTATAAACTATTTTATGGAAAATCTCACTGAGTAAATATAGTACATTAACACTGAGAAATTTCGCCTCGCCCGAGGATCGAAACAGCAACACTGGATTACTAATCCGATCCGCTTCATCTTGAGCTAAAAGGGTGGCTGTTACTTTTAACGATTGGTATTGTTACAAATAAATGAAACTTTTATAACATTTTATTTAAGAAGCATGTGCTTACCATCATATATAGTTAAGTATATAGTGACATATATTTTTAACCTTTTTTAACCCCACATATGAAGTCAATTCAATTGAGACTTATCTATATTTTAGAATGACTTTTAGAAAGGAAGAGCTTAATGTTTCATAATTATTCAATTCGTTATTTCTTATATCCGAAACTAGAGTCTAAACTTGCAATTCATGAATCTATTGTCTGATGGTATTGTTTTACTTTGTTGTCTGGTCCGGAGGCTTATCACTTAAAACAGACTATTGTCGTAATGCAGTGTTAGTGTTAAAACTTTAAAAACAAGCAATTATCATAGTATTGCAAGCAATCAATTAGTCCCCTGCCGGTAAGAACCCCAGCAACATTCTGATGGGCCATTGGCCACTCAATTTTACCAGTCAATGAATGACATAAATGAACTTAAATCTTTTGAGTTCTAAGTTTGTCTATATCATAGTAATGTGTTAAGTTTCCCAGCCTAGTAAGGGAAACAGTTTTATTAACAGACAGACAGACTGAAGTAGATTCTTAAGTTATTCTTAAGTTATTTTTTTAAACATCCCTGTTACCAAAATATAACATATTTTAATACAAAATTCTTAAAGAGGAGATAACTCTTGAAATAACGATGCCAGATTTATAACCATTGATGTGAATTTTACTTGAAGTTTAAAGATACCATTTATAGTCACAAAGAAGATAAGTAAAAAAAATAACAATTTTCAAATATAGCAATTAACTATACCATTTATAATGTATAGTAAGTAACAAAGATGAAAATTAAAATCAAAAATATAATGTAGGTGTTGATAATGAATGTTTATTTTGAATTTGAAGAAAGTCCATGAAGAAATAAGAAAGTTGAAGAATGAATAAGAAAAATTCAAAGTTTAAGGAGGAGATAATTCTGAAAATATGGATTTGGATTTATAAACCTTGTCATATTATTATGATGTGGGATTTTTAAGTAAATCCTATAAGGAATGAAGAAGTTGGAGTAAAGATACCAATTTCACGAAAAAAATCTAAGTTCCAGGGGGTAATAATTCTAGAAATAGTCTTGCTAGAGTATTTAACCTTCTCATAAATGTTGAGTGATAATAAAAAACATATATATAAAGTTTGAAGTAGATACATTAAGAAAAAAAAAAGTTTTTTAAAAAAGACAACATTTGTTTTCATAAAAAAGTTCAAGGGAGGTAATTCTGATAGTTTTTGTGGTAGAGTTGTAAACCTTGTAATATATGTTGTGGTGGATGACCAGAAACTTTATTTAAAGTTTGAAGTAAACACCTTAAGAAATAAAGAACTTATAGTGAAAAGGCGTAAAAATTCAAATCAGAAGTCTTGAAATTCAGACTATTTGAAGCCATAGCAACCAGTATTTTCAACATAGAAAAGAAAAATATGTGCATAATTTCCAGACTGTCATCTACCCATATTTCAAGTTTCATAAAAATATTTTCGACCTTTTATCACTGGATCCAGAATATGTGTAAATTTTGCCATATTTTCAGCTTATTTGTTGCCATAGCAACCGAAATTTTCAACATAGGAAGAAAAGAAAAAGAAGTGCATAATCTCCATACTGCCATTTATCCATATTTTAAGTTTCATAAAATATTTTCAGTACTTTTTGCATTTTCGCGGGATCCAGTTTTGTGGAAGGACGGACGGGCGGATAGACGGACGGAGGGTAAACCTAAAGTCCCCTCCGGTTAAACCAGTAGGGGCCTAATAAGAATTAAGTTACTACGTTTATCCATGCGAATATCATCTCAAATGATTTTGAGACTTGGTCGTTAAAATATTAGGTAGAGAGTTATTCCTTTCACATCCTAAGCAAAATTATTACAACAGTTTTACATTGATATAACTATGAGATCATTTAGATTTTCTGCTTCTGTTTTTTGCCACATGATATAAATGTTGGAGATCTCAGATTATTTTCTACATGCAATACTAGTCTTCTTGATAATTATATCAATAATAACAGTGTTGTATTTGGGGGGCGTAATTTTTCACCCCGGGGGGTTTTTGTTTCAAAGGGTGGAAATTTTAAAAGACGGGAAAAATTTAATTTAAAACGGGTTTTGGGGTGGTGGTTTTCTTCTCACGTACGGGTTTATTTACACACCACATAAATTTACATAAATATCCTTTTTTAATGAATTTTTTATCTAATGATATATTTCATGCGAATGTTTTTTTTCCGAAAATTAAATAGGAATGTCTTGAAAAACATCTTTTACAGGAGTGTTTTAATATTACAACAGGCGTCCGTTCCTAATAAATACATATGATTGTGTTTTTATATTTTCAATAAATATTTGTTTAATAAATTCAGAAGTTGAAAATACGAGGGTTGTTCGCGAAGTTCTGGGAATTTTGTCATATCTCCTATATTTTTTGATTCTATGACGTAATATTTTGCACATACTAAGATTAGCATATCATGGCACTATTCCTAAAAATTGAATATAATCCGACAACAATAGCAGTAACCATAGCAACACTATAACGCCGCACCGGAGCAGTCTGACTCTAAAGAAAGGTATAACGCGCTACACTAATAATATTTCGTAATTTTGATAACGTAAAAAATGCGCGAAAACGCTGACCAGCAGCGAAACGTCATGACGTCATTTCCTGAAAATATCATAACGTTATTTTAATTCTCAACGGATCAACATTGTTTTAAAGTTGCTTCCCAGAGCCACTGAGTAACAACATGACGTCGATAGGTGACGTTGAATTGCGAAGCATCGTGAAATTTTGTGTTGCGCTGGAAAAGTATTCCACAGAAACAATGAAAATGATCAATTCTACAGGAAAATACAAGAAATGCAGTCCGGCTACAGTGTATATATGGCATGCTCGTTTTAAAGAAGGAAGAAACTCGATCAAAGACGATCCTAGATCGGCAGTCTGTTGTTGCATGTTTAATTAAGGACTCGGTAAAAGACATGATCAATTGCGACAGAAGAACGACAGTTAGAGCTATTGCAGATGAACATTGCGTATCAGTTTCTACTGTACACGGAATACTTACAAAAGAGCTCGGTATGTCTAAAGTAAGTGCACGTTGGGTACCACGGTTGAAAAAGGACAATGAAAAGGATTGTCGGGTGCGATGCTCTCAGGCATTTCTTTCACGCTATGACGCTGAAGGTGATGCGTTCTTAGACAGAATAATAACAACTGACGAAACTTGGCTCCACCACTTTGATCCAGAGACTAAGCTGTGTCATCGGTATGGAAAACCTCGCGTACACCTCCCCCAAAGAAAGCCCGGGTGCAGAAAAGTGCGGGAAAACACATGTTTATTTTCTTTATGGACCGGCACGGGATGATTGTGCAACACAGAGTTCCGGATGG